CACATTTCCTTTTAAAATTCCCAAAACGAAATTACAAGTGTGGACATTTCCACTTTCAAAGTTGTTTTCGCCTTTTGCAATAACCTTAGGATCTCTAATAAATTCAATTATTTTATGAATCTTAATTATCGATGCCATGTTTTTAAGTATCTAAAAAAATATAAGTAAGTACATCTTAGAGATTGTATGTGTTATTCATATTAAAAGTTAAAGACAAACAAATTCTAACACTATACAGTAAATAAATAAGTAAAATTTAATTTTTTTTGTGATAAATAATCAATAATTTGAACATAATATACATAATATAATAATATAATGTATACCATTTAAATATTATTACATGTTATACCTAACTTTGAACCAATCGTGTCAAACATTGTATTAAATCACAACTGAGCCAAAAATATTGAACAGAAAACTATGCAAATCAATCGAAAAAACGAACGGCTCTAGGTTTGACATGCCTGCTTTAGGGCATATGTTTTAAATATAAAAGTGAATCTACCTACATAAATATTGGTTGAATATATATTTCAATATGCACACATAACTATGAGATCAGTTTAAAAAGTAAAAAAACAATTTAAACGAATTAAAAAACCAGATGAATAAAAAAAATTAAATGGACAATGCATTTCTTATGGAATGAACCGTGATAACGGTTTGTTTGGAACCAGACGCGTTATCATTATAGATTGTGACGTAACGACTAATCTCTTCTATTATCTATCAAAGAAGTTAAAACGTTAAAAACGTATTAATAAATGAAACATTTTTATTTTAAGCTTTCTTTTTTGTTTTTATTATTTATAAATTATAAAATATAATTTCAGTATGTTGACGAGAAGGAAATTATCTTATTTGTTTTGTGTCATGTGATACTTGTGTCGTATTTGTACTAGTCCCCATTGATCTATTAAAATCATAGACATATAATATAATAGACCGCGAATAGAAAGAGAACTACAAATCCATGATATGTGCGAGAGAGAAAGAACCATAAGAGGTTTTCTCATGGATGAGTTAATAAAACTGTTTTTTTTTCTAGTTGAATTATATTATGAGGCGGAATCACGATGTAGATAATATACATCCCATGATAACGTGGGCCATGTGGGTGGAATATAAAAATTAGACACAATTTACAAGTTTAAAAAAAAAATATTTATAATTTAAACATTTTATACTTTAAAGTATATAATATACAAATTATTACAAATTACAATTAATATTATTATAACATGTGTTTTTGTACAAATGGTATAATACAAAAAAAAGGTAAAACAATATATTATTTTTATGTTAATTATGATATTTTATTGATGTTTAAAAAGTATTAATTTTGTGTAGAATGTTCTAATTTTTTGATCTATTGAATTTGTTGATGAATTAATATGATGAAGTCTCAGTGTAATATAAATGTGCGTAATTAGTTTTAACAGCTGTAGGAGATGATTATTGAAGGGTTCTTGTTCCAGAAAATGATTTGATAATGAGATAAAATATTTATTAATATTAATTTTTCTCATACATTCTATTGTAATCCTCTTTACAACGTTTGACCCATCAATTCTTTGGTACCCACGAATTACACGTTCAGCTATTTTACAAATTTCAATGACATCTGGATTCGGTATAATTAAACCACCTCTATTTTTACGTCCAATTAGAGCAGATCCCGATTCTTTTGTTCCCAAAGATTTTTCACAAACTGTACATAGAATTTTCTTCTTTATTTTGTAAACAACAAATCCTGCTATGTATGTTACAACATCATCAAGGTAATTTCTGTTCTCATAAATGTCTAATATATCTTCTGTTTCAATTATTTCAGTTCCTGCAGCACATAACAAATCTAGCATTTCAGATTGCTCATAATTTTTTTTTGGTGGAGCGCTTGATATTCTTAGAATACTTGTGTCGTCTAATGCTAAAGCATTGGCAGTCGATGGACATTTAACTTCAGCATTGATTATAATTGATTTGTATGCAGCTTCAAACTGTGCTACAGTGGGATTATTATTGAAACCTCCCTTAGCTCTAATGCCTCCAAATAGCAGTTCTATATGGTCTTGATTAAATTTATAGGTAAGTAAAAATTGCAATAGTTTGGTTTCTATAAGCTCACTGTAAAGATTTTTAATTGTTTTTAAACATGTTATTAGGGGAGACTGGCTTAATATGACATAGCACTTTTTAATTTAAAAAAAATTAAGGAAATAATGATAGTTAACACATGAAACTTGAGCAACATATTTGTATTTATATTATACACATATTTTTGAAGTCTAATTGTACATTTAATACAAACAAATAATTTTAATTCACTTTTTTTAAATGTACCTACTATGTCATTTTACTCGGAGTGTCGGGTAAAATGGCATACACCATATTTGTATAAGCAACCATTGTATACTGGTCAATAAAAATAAATTATAAAATTTTTAGAATTTAATAGTTTAATGAATTTTTTTTACTATACATAACAAAATTTTAGAAATATATTCAACATAATTAATATAATAATATAAATATGAAATTAATATAATAATAAACACTGCTATGTCATTTTGCCTGATATAATACAAGTCTTTTTCAAAGTATTTATGGC